GGGGGGGGGGGGGGGGGGGGGGGGGGGGGGGGGGGGGGGGGGGGGCGCCAAAACTAAGGCACTTGCCAGGAGGGTGCTGCACCTCCCGGAGGGATTGTTGTCTCGTGACTCACTCGGGGGGGAACGAAAGCACGGGCGGGATCTTTCGACAGCTGTCGGAACATTTCCGGTTGGGCGTCCGACCCGATTATAACTGCAAACAAATGCGCTTGTCGGCGCTCTCTTCACGTCTCCGATCACACGTGGAAAAAAACGCCCGGGACGAGCAGCTGAACATGGCGGTGGTTGCATATGATGCATACTACGTTTTCCATCCCTGACGCCCCACGGCTTGCCGCCCTGATGGGCTGCCAAACCAGCCACATCAAAACAAGGCATAACGAGAGAAGAACGTGGTGTAGAAGGAGGTGCAGTGACTGGAGGCACAAGGGTCCTTGGGAAAAGGGACAGGGGAGGCGCCTGCTTCACCTCCTGCTGCAGGGAGTGCGGCAGAAGGTGAAGGAGGCGCCTCCCTCCTTTTCCATTCCCCAAGGCTCTAAATCTCCCACTCGCATTACCTCCGTCTTCACCGCGTTCTTTTCCCGATTTACCGTGTGTTGGAAGCACCTGGTTTGGCAGCCCAATAGGGCGGAAGCTGGTGGGGCGTCACGGCTGGGAAACCGGATACGTTATCAGTAGACTGATAATCATGCACTCCACAAGCCGAACGTCTCGCCCACCTCCTCCTGATTGTCCTCTCCTCTCCTGCTACACATGTTCTTCGCGCGAGTTTTCGCCAACACAACGCTTGCACCACTCGGGATACATCTTCTACAGCCGCCCTGGCGATACGCTGCCAATCCTGCAAGCCGCAACACTATATCGCGCGGGTTTCCGCGGTGGGCAGGCACCGGTAGGCGAAGCCCTTACACGCTTTGCAATAAATTTCGGGGGGAAAAAACGAGGACTGCCGTGAGGTGGTGGTGCAGAAATGATACTGGATGCAGCTTATCGAAACCTATCACTATAACCCTTGAATCGGCAGCACTATCGCCGCCCCTCAACAGCAGACACACGCCTCAGAACACCAACCTGTAGCTGAAGCCGTTGAGGCAGGGAGGGTCTGTGATCAGTGCCCATGGTGCCGCCAGGTGGGTAAGGCCCTGAGTTCAAAGCGTGAATGTGGGTGGTGTGTGTCGAAACGTGAGAAACAAACACCCACCAGCAGCAGCAAGCACAAACAGCAGCAGCGACAGCAGCAGCAACCGCAGCGCACTTGCATTTTGCCCAGGCAAACTTTTGGACATTTTATTGCTCAAGGATAAAAAACATAATGGTTTCCAAACAACTAGACGTATTATCGTAGAAAAACTGTGTTTGCGCCGTTTACGTAAATGCTTGTTTTAGTTAATGGTTTTCTTCTGTTTTGGACATAATACGTGTTTTCAGGGCCTCTGCTGTACAGCAGGAGTGGATCTTCCGTTCTCTCCGGCCCCACCAAGCACGGGTCCAAGGACACACCCCGCTTCCAGACCGTGGGTTGCGGGCGGCGTGCTACTACTGTTGTGCATGGAATTTGATCAGTAATGACGGTCTGAACCTCTACCCAGAGTTCTCCCACCTCTTCTCTTTCATGCCACTCTGTAAGCACGGCAAAGAAAACACATTCGGGCCGCCACAGCCTCCACTGAACACAGCCGTCGAAACCAACAACAAAAACTCCCAAAAAAATGTTAACGGAGAGTACAGCCCCGTTTTGATCGTGGTGACCTGAGAGTACTTCAAGCCCCTCTCCCTGCAGTACAGGGAGACGCTTCGCTGGAGCCACTGTCGCGCTTTCTCGTCCCCAAACACCGGCGAGTCCGTTCGCGTCCGCGGCACGTCCTGCATCGTGAAAGAGACCAACAACAACAAGCAGCCGCAAAGAGGTTGATGGAGGCAGTGTCGTGAGACCGGTACGCGGTGGATGTGCTTGCCTTGCCTTCAGCCTATCCCTTGAAAACCATCTTGACTTCTCCCACGGCAGCAACGGACAGAAAACCAAGCCCTGATCAAATCGAAGCGCGTTTGGGGTGCGTTCGAACGGGGCGCCAAAAGCCGCGCTTATGGAATTGACCAGGCAGCGGTGATTGGCGAGTGTGGTCACAATTCTACGGACCCGCGGCAAAATTTTTGGTGCAGTGGCGACAGCCTGGTTCCCCTTCCTCCCTCCCTCCCTCCCTCCCTCCCTCCCCCGCCGTCTTTGCGTCGTCGAAAACATAGAAAAAATCGCAGAAAGGCTACCCGTTCTAGATATAACCACAGTCGAAGGGGATTGTTTTCATCTCAATCTTCAGATAAGGGGATAGCGACTGTCTTGCCTGCCCGACCCACGCTGGCTTTCAGGGTCTTAGTACGAGCCTATCCAGAGTCAATGCGTAGGTAGAACGCGCCAGCCCGTTACCATTTGGACATGTACCTTCTACACGTGCGCTGTAACAACACAAAAAGCGAGAATAGCAAAAGTAAATAACAAACGAGGCAACCAACCGGGTGTTTACCTGAAGAATTGCCTCTTGTTCTTCCCGACTACCTACCAGCGCCTCTGCCAGCTTGCGGTCCTGGTGAAAACACGGTGTCATTGACAAACACCGCAGCAGCAGCAGCAGCAGCAGCAGCAGGGAGGGGAGGCAATCATTCATGGGTGGACAGAACAGCAGTACGACCGCGTCAACTGTCACCTTGATATTACAGGCCCCACGTCTAACCAAACGCTTCCTAACTTCGCAGTCATCCAGCAGTTGATCGATCTTCCCCTTGCGCCTCCTTCCATTCAGCTTCATGTGCTTGGGTGTATTCGTGCGCTTCCGCAATGCCCAGCACGGGGATGGAAGGCGCACGCACACTATGAGCCTGCACGGCTAAGTTACGCTATGCTCAAGGGCAAACACAGAGTTCTACAACGGCACCCAGAAGCGAGAGGTGCCTTGCGAGCACTGCCTGTGTCCAAACAGGACCATTCGCGCACGGACAATTTTGCTTTCTACCCGCCCATGCAAGGTTTGATGAGAATCAAAACGCTTGTACGGCTAAACTGGACGTGAAGAAGAAGTGCAAGGCGAATATTGGCGTGTGCCTTCAATAGCCCCCACAGAACCAGGGAGAAGTCTTCTGAAGTCCTTTCTGCTAAGTGGAGCTCACGGCTACACGAACTAAACCGAATAGAACTGCATGACGGACCCCTGATGGTCTGAGAGTTGCTGATAGACAGTACGGATCGCAGGCGGGCCTAATGGGGGCAGCCCTAACCGTTCTGACCCCGTGCGGCTCCGCCTGGCGCGTCAAACGTATATGCACCGAAACGTGTGTATACTGGCGCTATGCTACATAGACGGATGGGATGGACACACACGCACTTGGAGACATGCACTTGGAGTCATGAATGTCTATGTTTCTTTAGATTATTCTTACTCCACCTCATGAGGCCCGCTTAATCTCTTCAAGTACTTAAGGACTCAGGAGAGACAGCCCCCCGTAAGAACACATCAGCCCCGTTCATAAAACACCCCATGAGATCGATAATAACATGGCAACTCATCTCCAGCCACGGAAACGATGCTGTGTAGGCGAGGCTCCTTGCTCTGCCGGTGTATTCAACACCACAGATCGCAGATAGACTTCAGCAAGGTATTGACCCGTTCTCCGCGGCTCATTGTCCCGCCCAGGAAACTACGGAGTAACTTTCCGCCCACGTTCGCACCTACGGTTTAACCCCCATGTACATTGTAACCCGCCGCTGTGTTTTTATGCATTCGATGCTGCCGGTGGCGGCAACATATGCGTACGACTCTCTGACTTCCTTCTCCTATCTCGCACATCAGGTAGTCATGAATTGCTTAATTTTAGTTCACAAAGTAAAGAAGCGATTTGCCGACGCTCGACCTTCACGGAACACGGCCCCTCAACAAGAGCCGATTCCCGAGGCGGGCGTATCTACTCCTGTATGGGGTTCCCCGGGCAAGGAGGTCGACGCGGACGAGTAGAGAAGGGCGATGACCCCGACGGAGACGAGAAGGAAGGTGGCGAGGAGGACTGCGATGAGGAGGAAGGCAACCAGGGTGACGACCAGCAGTGCGACTACGAGCATGATATGCATGTCATGCGTCAACTGCTATGTAGAAGAGTTTCGTACGCAGAGCACTCGTGGTCGCACTGCTGGTCGTCACCCTGGTTGCCTTCCTCCTCATCGCAGTCCGCTTCACCACCTTCCTTCTCCTCTCCGTCGGGGTCATCGCCCTTCTCTACTCGTCCGCGTCGACTTCCTTGCCCGGGGAACCCCATACAGGAGTACAGTCGAGGGACCCTTTTAGTGCCGGTTGAATAGTGCCAGATGCCCGGTATAGTGCCGGTAAAATCTCTGCACACAGGCGGAGCTCTCAATAGTGCCAGACCGGCACTAATTAAAGCATGCCCGATATAGTGCCGGTTCGGCACTGCTGTCACCCCCAATAGTGCCGGTACTCCGCACGCGCGAAACACACACACGCACAACCCAGGGCAGAAAACATAGACTCCACACACAGAAATAGGGTACACGTGCTGCTGCAGACCCGAACAGCTCTACACAGGGGCGTACCATGCCCTGTGCGGAAGGTGAACTGTGCCAACTACAGGACACCACGCCGCAAGACCCTCATGGTCACGGCTGCCAGGGAGGATGTGGCGGGCGACTGCACGGCATTTGCGGCAGTGTGGTTGATGTAGGCAACGAGAATCACCGCATCTGCAGCGCGTG